AAACTTCTGATATACCTCGGATTGGAAGGGGGAGCTGCATGCCTTTCAGAGGGAGGTGTAGATCGAGAGTGGAGAAGACCGTGCACACATCTACAATTGGAATGTCTGCGCAGCTCTGACCATTGGATTGAGGAGTCTTTCATCTCAGCCTATGGGACTGAATATGAACTCTGACATCCAGATCCGAAAGGTCAGGGTCTACCCATTGTAGCGGCTCCCAGTGTTGAAATGTAAAACTTTCCATCATGTTTGGTTTTTTAACCAGGCAGTTGTGGGACAGGGGGCTATCAGGAGAGCAAATGAGATGATTAGAAAGGATGGCATTATGAAATAATGTAAAACTTCTTAAAATCTTCCTGAATGATGCCTTAACAAGAAGAGATAATATCAAAGGTTGGAAAGTCCTGTTAGATAGAGAAAGAAAAATGCTTGCAATTATTACACTTGTACTTTTAATGGGTCTGGGATGGAATGAATTGTGCAGTGATGAGCAACATTGTGCTGTAAATTGAAATAGAGCGACATAAAGCACTGCATCAGGGTTTGATGATCAAACTCCACAAAGCATTTGTAGAATATGCATAAAGCCACACATAGTGTTCAGCAGATTCTGTCCCACAGTTAAATGCAATTACGGTTTCATTGTTGGCTATTCTTGAGTTATATTGGAAGTTGAATTGCCTTTTCACATTGATATTGAACTATGGCTACTGGTGGCATATTCGGATGTAAACAAAATCAACTCCACATCTGCAAAAGTGTCAGGATCCTGCTTTTTATGGGATGCAGGAAATGCTCCAGGCAAAATCAGTAAAACTGGTTTTCGATGTCCTACCAGGGAATAAGTAGCAGTCGTCATTAGTGAATCCTGATCCTTTTGTGTTGTGCTGCATGTTGACCAGTGAGAGGAGCAGTTCTTCAGAAGGGTAAAGAAACGTAGATGATGGCAATGATTGCAAGAATGAATTCAGTATCACTTCTCCCAAAGAGAAATGAGTGACTGTGTGTCATATCTCATCTGTGTATGTGAGAAATTACTTTCTGCTGTTAATGCTCTCGAGAGTAGATGCAACTTGGTGGGAAAATTTTGAAGCAGAGCAGCCTGTCTCCTGTGTCTTGGTCAATACTGACTCCTCAATAGACATCACTAAATCAGATCATCAGCCTATTTATCTCATTCCTGCTTGTGGGACCTTGCCGAGTGCAAATTGACTGCTGTGTTTCCAATTTTACTGCAGTGACCAACTTTCAAAAGTACTTAATAAAAACTGAAAGAATTGCGGATGCTGGAAATCAAAGCTGGAATTGAACCCGGGTCACTGGCGCTGTGAGGCAGCAGTCCGAACCACTGAACCACCAAAATTGCTGGAAAAGCTTAGCAGGTCTGGCAGTATCTGTGGAGAGAAATCAGAGTTCACGTTTCGGGTTCATTGACCCTTCTTCAGAACTGACATTTTTCTAGCTGCCATCAGCGCTGAGGAAGGGTCACCGGACCTGAAATGTTAACTCTGGTCTCTGTCCACAGATGCTGTCAGACCTGCTGAGCTTTTCCAGCAATTTCTGTTTTTGTTTCAAAAGTATTTCATTGACTGTAAAATGCTTAGAAATGTCCAGACATTGTGGCAGGTGCTCCATGAGTGCAAGTCTATCCATTGGAGTGCAGTGTAAAATGTAAAATGGGAGGGCAACGTTCAGAGATGGAGTCCTGTTTAACAGCACCTCAATGTGCAATAGGACTGACTCCAATCTGTAATACATTGCTGCAAAAATGGCTGTTGACTGCAGCTCAGTATCATCTTGCCATTTGTTGGTGACTCCTGTGATTGATTTAATAGTGAAAAGAATTATCCCTCAGTCTTCCAATGTCAGCTCTCACTGGAGTCAGTCAGGCATTTGACTGAGGCCCTTTTTGAAAGAGACAGACACCAGGTCCTCAAGCTCTGATTGCTTTCCATACATTTGCTGTTCAATATCCAAGATAATAATTGAGTAGTATCATATTGAATGTTTTATTAAAGTGATTGGAGTTGTCCAAACTCAAAACTCTTCTTTCTGACAGTTTATGTTTGGTAACAAACACATGGTCTGCATGTTATAAGGGTTCTGCCTGTGGGCCATTACAGCAGGGGAGGTGATAACCTATTGGTTTTGTTGCTGTTAATCCAGAGATCCAGATAATATTCTGGGGACCTGGGTTCGCATTCCGCCAAAGCAAGTGGTGGAATTCGAATTCAATAGAAAAAAATCCGGCCTACATTTGACTCCAGACCCAAAGTAATGTGGTTGACTCTCAACTGCCTCCTGGGCAATTAGGGATGGGCATTAAATGCTGGCCTAGTCAGTGATGTCCCCATCCCATGAATGAATAAAAAACAAGTAGAGGCCAAGACCTTGCAGAAGGTAACATGAGCTACTGCAGTAGCCTGTAATTCTGGTTTGGAAGTCAATAATAGAACTGGTCTGAAGGATCATATCAGACAACCTAATGCCAATTCTGTTAGGGAAGCAGTAATGTGAAATCTGAGCAATGGAACAGGAACACTGTGGTAACCCCATTACACAGCAACGTATACATTTGACATTGAGTTGAATGGTTTTAATGCAGGAAAAGTGGCAGCCAATTTACACATAACAAGATCCCTACACACAGAAATGAGATAATTTTTTTTATGAGTTAGTTTAACATCTCAGCCAGAAGACAGAACATTTGATGGTGCACCATCGCATCCACACAACAATATACTTTTGAGCTGACATTTGAGTCAACAATGTGGACTCAAGAGATAAGAATGCTAACATGGAATCATGACTGACAGCTTGGAAAAAGACACAATAAGAATCTCATCACATGTCACTGATGTGAAACAGCTTTCCACATTACCAGTCTATTCTTCCTGGAGAAAATGCTTTATAAGGAAACAAGCAACAAATAGAGAACTGATTTCCTGAGCAGGAAAGTCTTTTAGCAATGAGATTAGCAACACCTTGAGCTGTAATGCCATTGAAAATAAAAGCTAGACTCTGAGAAAGTCTCCTGCCTTTGATTAAACTTTCATTTTCAATCCTGTCATCTTTGAGTGAGACTCAAGGCCATCTCCTATGACGATGATGCACTAAAGTTCCTTTCACAGAATTTACCAAATAGCTAGTGATTGTGCTTCTCATTCATTCTGTGATTCAGAATCTGGAACATTTTGCTCCTATTTTATTCAAAAGCCCAGTCACATGTCAAGGCTGCGGTCTCAGCATAAAAGAAAAAGTTTCACTGACTCTACAGTTTTCATTTTGCCACTTCTGAGTGACTTCAGAGAATAGGGCAAGGAGATAAGGATTGAGGTCAGTAAGAGGTAAATTTCAAATCATTATCAGCAAGTTTCTCAACACACTGTCAGGACATTATGAACTAAGGTGGGTTTGGTTCTATCACCTATTTATTGACTAACGTCAGAAGGAAATGAGCATTGAGGCAGATGTATAAAGGGCAGCATTTTTGATATAATACTTTGAATCAGTGTTGAAATGACCTCTACAGAATGAAAAAAGATTGGAGGAACATCACAGAGAATGATAAACACCAATCTCCAGGGTATCTGTCTGTGATCTGCCAAAGCTCAAACACCCAATTAAGGAAGTATCATGGACCCTTGACTTTACTGTGTCCTAATGCTGACGTGTTGGGAGGCTCTGTGAAGATCCCAATGTCTGGACCAGAAGTTCCCAATTCAAGTTCTTCCTCAGGCTTGACAGCAACAGAAGGCATGTCATAATGCAGCCAAACTTATCAATCTGTAGTTCCATCTGCGAACCTCTCCATTGTGGCAAGAGTGGGTGAGTTTCCCGATCAGCTGGAGCCATATGGGAGCTGAAGCCTCCCTCTGGTAGCAAACTCTTAATAGCTTTTCATCAGCAAGTGCCATCCTGATGGTGACGAATTTGACATGTTCACTCTTGAGGTTTTGGTGTGGAGAACGGAAGTAAACTGCACTACATTTCAATAGGTGCTTTTTAACAGACTGCAAGATTATCTGCAGGTGTTCTTCTGCTAGTCACTCGTAAAACTGGAGGAATGGCTGCGGAAAGAACAATCAATGGTTCTCCCACATCATTTCATCTGTTTTTTCATATTTCAGGCCCAGCAGTGTTGGATGGGGACAGTTTAGAGGACGCTTTACACTGTATCTAACTCTGTGCTGTACATGTCCTGGGAAGGTCTGATGGGATCCGTGTGGAGGGATCTTTACTCTGTATCTAACTCAACGCTGTACCTGTCCTGGGAGAGTTTGATTGGGGCCATGTAGAGGGAGCTTTAGCTTATGTCTAACTCCATGCTGTACTTATTCTGGGAGAGTTTGATGAGGACAGTGTAGAGGAAGATTTATTCTGCATCTAACTCCATTCTGTACCTGGCCTGGGAGCATTTGTTGGGGACAATGTAAGAGGAGCTTTATTCTACATCTAACTCCGTGCTGCCCCTGTCCTGGGAGTGTTTGATAGGGACAGTGTAGAGGGACCTTTACTTTGTATCTAGCCCCGTGCTGTACCTGTCCTGGGAGTGTTTGATGGGGACTGTATAAAAGGAGCTTTGTTCTACATCTAACTCCATTCTGTACCTGGTCTGTGGTTGTTTGATGGGGACCGTGTTGATGGAGCTTTACTCTGTATCTAACTCCATGCTGTCCCTGTCCTGGGAGTGTTTGATGGGGACTGTATAAAAGGAGCTTTTTCTCATCTGGGACTGTTGGATGCCAAAATTCAGTGAGCCAGAAAACTGGAAAAAATTTCAAAGTTCTGCTCCTTGATCAACCCGAAGATTGTGCAATTATACATGCTTGAAAAATTATAGCGTTATTAATACCACAAGTCCTATACCTGATTAAACACAAATGTTTTTTCACCGTGTCCTCCCACACATAATACTAACAACTCAAAGAAGAATACATTTCTGAAGCTGATGTCTCCGCAGGGCTGTTCAATACTTTGAACCTTTTTCTTGCCAACAGTTTTCATGCTGTGGGGGAGATGACTACATGGACTGGGCTGTGAATCAATACCATGCTTGTGATGCACCAGGACCACTGGCCTGTGGAGCACCGTACACTTGCTGTGTGAGGAATCAGGTACAATTGAAATCCACAATGTCTGCAATGTGTAGCCTGTTACATGTTAAAACTGGCTTTCCTTTTTCCATTTGGTGCTTCAACTTTGAGCTGTCAATGTGCATTTTCATGGCCCCTGTAAGCTATTACCAACATTGAATTGGAGTGCGATGTACACAATGTAGTTCTAGAAGCCATGTTTGGCTATCTGCTCAGTACAGTGTGGTGCATAAACAACAGGATACTGGAGAGTTTTCAGAGACTGTGTCAATTAACCTTGTACTTTGTCACGCCTTGCTTACAGGTCTCCTGGGTGTGTGTGTAAAAAATTTTGAATTCGGTATCTATTCACTTTTCAATACCACAGTAGCTTGGAGAATTTATAGTTGGAGCTGTACAGGCCACTAGATTAATGGCCACTTGAAAAAATACACATTTTTCTCTTCTTTCATTTTTTACTTAGTTCCACAGTTCAGGAGAATCACTGAATGTCTCATTAAGACCAGAAAGTTTAACAAAGACATGCTCTATCCAAAGCACCTTAACTCAATAAATCTTACCTGTTGCCTCACTACATTTCATAGAATCCTTACACTGTGGAAGCAGGCTATTCTGCCCATTGAGTCTATACCACCCCTCTGAAGAGCCATATCCTATCCCTGCATTTCCCATGGCTAATCCATCTAGCCTGCACATCCCTGGACATTATGGACAATTTAGCATGCCCAATCCACCTCATCTGCCCATTTTTGGACTGTGAGAGGAAACCGGAGCACCCAGAGGAAACCCACGCAGAAGTGGGGAGAATATGCAAATTCCACACAAACAGTCGCCAAAGCTGGAATTGAACCTGAGTCCATGGGACTGTGAGGCAACAGTGCTAACCACTGAACCGCCAAAATTGCTGCGAAATCTCAGCAGGTCTGGCAGCATCTGTCGAGAGAAATCAGAGTTAATGTTTTAGGTCCAGTGACCCTTCTTCATAACTGGGTCATTTCATTTAACATTTGTCAATGGATCTGTTACAATTCAGGAAACTGAGTATTCGTAAGAATGAAGGTCATTGAAACATTCTGTGTTATGAACTGAAGTTATGTATCATGGAGAATGAGCAGAATATTTGGTTGAATCCCTGATTAAATTGAACAAAAGGACTGAAAAAGACTGCAAGAAGTACAACAATATTTGTCCCATAAAGAGTTTATGTTTATTGAGGCGATAGCAAACTCAGACTGGGACTTGGTTCATGGTTACGCAGTTATAAGAGCTAAGTTCCTTCTCGCAGTTGTTTACTGTCAGCGTCAGAAATCACATGACACCAGGTTGTAGTCCAACAGGTTTATTTGAAAATACAAGTTTTCGGAGCCTCACTCCTTCTTCAGGTGTTAGTGAGAGAGTTAGTATCAGACACAGAATTTATAAGTATAAGATCAAAGAGTCACACCACTGATCAGGGATGCATTAATCAGAGCCTAACACCTTGTGCGATCAATACCTTCAACCTGACTTTACCATTAGCGCTCCTCTTAAGATATGGAAACAGTTTGACATCTAGTTATTGCAGCATGCATCATTAGTATGTCTTGCCCTCCTGTGAACTTTGATCTGGCATCTATGGTGTAACTTCACCGTGGGTGATAGCAATTTGATGACCTGCTTTGCATTTTGATTAATTTTCTTCACTGTTGACCAAGAAAAATCTTGTTCGAATTATGTGATGAAATTCGCCATTTGTTTTCCCAGTCTACTTACAATTTTGAAGGCTTGTTGTCAATGACTTTTTTCTGATTATCTTTTGCCAGTGGATCTGAGCAAAGGCAATTACTTCAGAAGAGCAGGCACTCTTTGAATGTTCGACAAATCAATTTTCTTTGAAGGACTTCTCCAGCTTTTCACTGTTTTGAACCATGAAGGGATTTGTTGAAGGAGTTTTATGCTTGATTGCAGTTGACCCTTTGGGGAAGAGGTCTCAGTCACTGGTCAGAGTCTTCTTCACAGGGAGGAGTAGGCACCAAGAGGGTTTTCTCTGGTATCCTGCCTGCCCTTTAACTCAGACAGTGCTAAACAAAACAAGTTAAGGACAACATTCACAGAATCCTTACAGTGTGGAAGCAGGCCATTTGGTCCACACTGACCCTCCAAACACCATCCCAACCTCCCACTCTATATTTCCCATGGCAAGTCCACCTAACCTACACAACAGGGCAATTTAACATGGCTAATCCACCTAGCCTGGTCACTACGGGCAATTTAGCATGGCCAATCCACCCCAACCTGCACATCTTTGGACTGTGTGAAGAAACCGGAACACCCAGGGGAACCGCACACAGACATGGGGAGAATGTGCAAACTCCACACAGACAGTAGCCCAAGGCTGCAATCAAACCCGGGTCTCCGGTGCTGTGAGGCAGCAGTGCTGACCACTGAGCCACCGTGCCACCCACTGAGGAAGAAGAAAAAGTATTTTGAACATGGTTTCAGGAGCAATTCTCCACTATATTTGACAAGGCTTCTTGTTGAAGACAAACAGTACACGCCAGCATGATCAAAAGGAATGAATAATTTATGTAAAGAAAGCTGTTATGCTTGCCTTATCAGATATTCAATGAATGTACCCGCGATGGTGTACTGTCTAGGACACAGTGAATCAAATGTGAGGTGTGTGAAAGCGCAAAAACAGTGAGTGTGTAGATGTGAAAAGAGAAATGTGTGAATCAGTGATTCTATGGGAATATGAAAAGCTGGCAATAGTAGAAATAACAGTGAATGTGTTGGATTGGCTGACTTGTAAATGTGTTTAGGGGCAGAAATCATCAGCTTCTCAGGTCAACAGCTGCAAGCCTCAACTTGTGGCAGTGCCAGTGAGGGCCACATCCTGAGACTGAATATTTAGACTATGGAACAGAGGAAGTGCACTTTGCCATATGTCATGGACCATAAGATATAGGAACAGAATTAGGCCATTTGGGCATTTAGTTTGCTTTGCCATTCGATCATGGCTGATATGTTTCCCAACCCCATTCTCTTGCCTTTTCCCCATAACCTTACAACCCCTTACTAATGAAGAACCTATCTATCTCCATCTTAAATACACTCAATGACTTGGTCTTCACATTCAATGAGTTCCACAGATTTACTACCCTCTGAGCAAAGAAATTCCTCCTCATCTCAGTTCTACAGGGCCCTCCCTGCACTCATAGGCTGTCCCTTTGGGCCTGAGTCTCTCCTACTAGTGGAAACATCTTCTCCATATTCACTCTATTCAGGCTTCTCAGTATTCTATAAATTTTGATGAGATTTCTCCTCAACCTTCTGTACTCCATTGAGTACAGGCCCAGAATCTTCAACTGCTCCTCATATGACAAGCCCTTCATCCCTGGGATTATTCTTACAAACCTCCACTGGACCACTCCAAGGCCAGCACATCCTTCCTTAGGTATGAGGCCAAAAACTGCTAACAATATTCCAAATTCTGTCTGCCCTGAGTGTTGTACAGCTTCACATCCCTACTGTTGCAGTTTAGACCTCTTGAAATGAATACTAATATTGCATCTGCTTTCCTAACTGCCAACTGAACCAGCATGTTAACCTTAAAAGAATCCTGAACTAAGACTCCCAAATTGCTTAGTGCTTCAGATTTTTGAAGCCTTTCCCTATTTAGAAAATAGTCTATGCTGCTTTTCTTCCTACCAAAGTGCATAACCTACACTTTCCCACATTGTATTTCATCTGCCACTTCTTTGCCCACTCTCCCACCCTGTCTAAGTCCTTCTGCAGCCTCCCCCCACTTCCTCAACATTCCCTGTCCCTCCACCTATCCTTGTGTCATTTGTAAACTTAGCAACAATGCCCTCAGTTCCTTTGCCCAGATTGTTAATATGTGATGTGAATAGTTGTGGTCCCAACACCGACCCCTGCAGAACTCCACTAATCATCAGCTGCCCCCCTGAAAAAGACCCCTTTATCCACACTCTCTGCCTTCTGCCACTCAGCCAATCCAAGATCCATGTCAGTACCTTGCCCCTTACACCATGGGCTTTCTTATCGCAGCCTCCTATGTAGCACATCGACAAAGGAAATCCAAATAGATCACATCCACGGCTCTCCTTTGTCCAACTTGCTTGTTACTTCCTCAAAGGATTCTAACAGATTTGTCAGGCATGACTTCCCCTTGACGAAGCCGTGCTGACTCAGCCCTATTTTACCATGCTGTTCCAGGGGCTCTGTGATCTCATCCTTAATGGATTCTAAACCTACAGACAGCCGAGGTCAGGTTAAAAGGCCTGTAATTTCCCGTCTTCTGCCTTCCTCTCTTCTTAACTGGGGGAAGAGGGTCTTGGGTTGAAGTTTGCAGGATGGACAAGACTGTTGAATGTGTTGCGAATAACTGAGGAAGTTGCACCTTCAAGCTGTAAATACCTGTTAAAGCTGCAGTGTGTTTGTGAGTTGAAGATTTTTATTATTGTATTTGGAGAGCACAGACGTTTGTAAAAATTACTGGTGAGAAATTTATAAAGTGGCCAATGTCACCAAATTGAAGGATACTTGATCATGAACACACAAATATGACCCTATTTCTCGATATGAAATGTTGCTGAATTTCTCGCTGCTGGTGTTCAAATTGCAGCAGCATCCTGCTTCTAACAACATCAGTAATGTCATAACTATGTGTTCACTGTGAAAACATTGATTTATAATGCTGTCATGTGAAAGATATGAATGACTGCCTTTGTGTAATGAAGCTGAAGCTAGATTATGTGTTAGTTGCAAATCTGAAAGTTGATTTGAAAGTGTTATTGAATTCACAAAGTAAGGGCTTGTGGCTTTGTGTTGTTTTTTAAATATTGCCTACAATTAGCTTTAAGTATCCGCTGAAGTGAAGGCTTTCGCATTTTGAAACTTTCAGGCTCTTTTTGGCTCATTGCAAGCCATCTCATTACCTATCATCAATGCACTGTCTGTCCCATTTTGAAAGCAAACGTAAGAGGTTCCACACAGATGTTATTTGGAATCCATTGATT